TAGAGGAGATTAAGTTTTCTGAAAGTTTAAATACTTGATTAATCCCAAAGAAAGTAAGAAATAAGAATCGAGGAACAAAGAAGAGACGAGACAAATAGAAATATGGTAGACTTCACTCTTACTACATTAGGAAATATATATGGAGTAAAGACTCTCATTTTGTTGTTTTGTTTCAACAAGTCAGCTCTGACTCCTGGTGACCCTATTAATGTGTGATGTCCACAATGTCGTGTCCTCAACAACTCTTTTCAGCTTCTCTAGACTCATGCCTATGCCATCCTTTATGGAGTCAATCCATTTCACATTTGATCTTCCTCTTTTCCTGCTACCTTCTACTTTTCTCAACATTATTGTGTTCTCCAAAGATTTCTGCTTTTTCATGATGTCTCCAAAGTAGGACAACCTCAGTTTGGTCATTTTTGCCTCAAGTGATAGTTCAGGCTTAATTTGCTCTAGGAACCATTTGCTCATCTTTCTGGCAGTCCATGGCCTCCGTGGAGCTCTTCTCCAACACTACATTTCAAGAGAATCAATTCTTTTCCTGTCAACCTCCTTCACTGTCCAGCTTTAGCATCCGTACATAGTACAAGGCTGTGGACTATCTTGGCTTTGGTCCCTAATGACACTTCCTTCCACTTGATCTTTCCTAATTCTTTTGTTGATGCCCTTCCAAGTCTCAGTCTTCTCTTGATTTCTTGGCTGCAGTCTGCACTTAAATTGGTGACTGCACCAAGGTAAACAAAATATTTCATAATTTCAATGTCTTCATTGTCTACATGAAAGTTGTGTAGTTCTTCTGTAGTCATGATTTTTGTCTTCTTGATGTTCAAATGCAGTCCTGCTTTGGCACTTTCTTCTTTCACTTTCATCAAAAGTCGTTTCATGTCATTGCTGCTTTCTTCCAGTACGAAGGTGTCATCTGCATAACTGAGATTGTTGATATTTCTCCCACCAATTTTCACTCCCCCTTCATCTGAGTCCAGCCCAGTTTTTCACATGATGTGTTCTGTGTACAGATTAAACAGCTAGGGAAATAAAATGCACCCTTGTCTGATACCTTTGCCTATAGACTCTCATTAAAATACAAAAATTGTCAGACTCTATAAGATCAAATCCAATTATATGTTTGATCTTGTGAAGAAACACATTCCAAACTTAAGAGCATACAAAAGTTGAAAAATAAAATAAGTAGTCATTTAAAAACCAATTTTGTATTTTTTCAAGAGTACAGTTATAAATAATTCTCATCTTTGTAAGCAATGACATTTACACACAAATCTACATGTTAAATTCTTTCCTAAATACATCATAAAAATTTGTTTTTCTCTCCAGGTGGTTTAGTACATTCTCCATTTCTTTCCCTTACTGCCTGAGGTGCCAAAAGCTGAGGGTACAACTAGTACTGAACATACATAATGCTTGACTGTATCCCTCACAAATGGGATATCTGGATCTTTGCTTTAAGATGCTGATTTTTTATTGTTTATTTTTAATTGTCCCACTTAAATTGTGCACTGGAATGTAAGCCACCTGAGTTCCCTTGCCACATAGGAAAATAAACACTCAGACATCATTATCATCATCATATTTCCGTACATGCAGTATTTCCATTTGGGCCTTCATGAAGGAGAATCTCACAGTTTCTAAAGTCCACTGGGCATTGACTCAATCAAGGCACCTTGTCTTTTTGAAATAATTCTCTACTGTCTATAGTAGACACGGAGGGGACAGTTGGAGAAAGTTAACTGGCATTGGGGTGTGGAGCAGAGAATTGGACCCAGGTAGTGGCTGTCTGTTCAGAACCAATGCAAATATAAGATCAAAACAAAACATCAGGGTAGAAATTATTTAAGTATCCTATAGGAATTATGACAAGTCTTGGACAGCTCCATTGTTAACATGAAGGACTGTGGGCTGTGTCTCCGCCATACCAAGTCCTTGGCTTGAGTCTCACTTGAACAACTGTTCTTTTGGAAGGACAATAAATGGTGCCCTTGGACATTTCATGAAATTTCTCAGCAAACATGCAACTAGATATGGAAATGGGGAAAAATCTTTTTATTGTGTTAAGAACAGTGTAAGAGTTTAAATGCATAATCAATCTCTGGAAAGACACACAAGCAACTGGTAACAAGAGTTCCTCAGGGGTGGTAACCAAATGACTAGGGGCAGCAGAAAAAGGGTGACTTACCTCCCACTTCTGAGATGTACAGATGTGGGAAACATCTGTACAGTAGAAATAGGCAAGGTTTATGGGGGCTAAAGTTTACACTTCTAGGGGATGTTCTTTAGTAATAAGAATGCAAAAATATAAATACAAAATTAGACACAAAAGTGAGTAACTATGAAGAAGGAGCCTGTGTAGGTGAGGGGAACTGCAGCTTCATCTTCATTAGCTCAGGGTCACCCCACTTCAGGCTGCAAACATGACCTGGAAGCCCTCAGGAAGTTTCCCCAGCTGAAGTAGCAGCTGAGGGGACAAGGACAGCTGAAGGGACCCTCTCCCACTGGTGTCTCAGAATCTTTTGACACACACCTGTGTCTCCAGTGTTTCCCTCAGAGTCAGTGGGATGGGCCGACTCTATTCAGACTCTCTTGTCCCCTCGGTGCATCAAGACAACTTTGACAATCTCAGGAAAGCTATGGCCTTACCCAACACCAGCCCCCACCTAAAATCCCTCACCTGCATTCCCACACAATTTTCATGCAATTTTCAGGTGGTTATGAGACCCCTGAGACCAAGGGTCTTTGGTCTCTGTCTACACTTTCTCTCAGAGAGTGAAATAGGAATTTCTGGGGACAGCAACTCTCCAGCTGTCTCCTACCTGGCCCTCCCTCTCAATGACAATCCTATTTCCCGTCATCGATAATAATATAGTTTTTAAATCCTCAATCCCTGCCCTATCAGAGGGTAAGCTCCAGTCCTTGCCCAGGTGGAACCAATGGATGAGAGGAAGCACACAGTGACTCACCTGGATTGAGAAGAGGAAGAGGAGGAGATTAGAAGCATTTTCACTTCAAAATATCTATCTTCATTGGAGGTTTGGTTTGAAATTGTAACCAGGATCTCTTGATTCTTCAGAATCCGCGATGCCCCCACCGGATCTGGGTTACCTTCATACTTGTTTTTTAAACTCTGTACTGAGGAAATTTTCAACACACACAAAAGTAGAGAGAATGTGCAGTAAACCCTGACCTTCACTCAGCACAGCATCAATCACGCCCCATCAGGATTCATCCATACCCCAACCATCACCCACACTGTGTTGTTTTGAAGTAAACCCGAGACTGTATATTTTTTCATCTCTTGGTAATTTTTTTGGAGAGACCAGTGATTAGTTTCTTTAAAAATGAGAGAGAGGGAGGAGACTGATGAAACTGACAAACTATCTTCCAATACAATTAAGAAAGAGGATTCTCTGAGAACTTAAATTGTCTTGCTTTGTACTGAATGCTCAGCATCTCTCAGGCACCCAACAAAAGTAATCAGCAGCTCAGAGCTGAGAAGCCAAAGATAAACAACACTATTTAAATTCTTTTGTCTCTTTTCTGAGCAGCATTATTCACTTCTGAATGATAAATGGACATTTCTATTCCCAACCTTGCAAAGGGAATCCCAAGCTCAGATGAAAATAAAATTCTCCCCTTGGTTACTTTGTACTTGTGAGGGCGCCCCCTCTCCATAGACCTGACTTCCAAGTGGGTGGGATGGAGGAAGAGCAGGGCAAGAAAACAGAATGGCTAGTGAGCCATTTTCTGGACATGTCCGTGTATAACAGGAACTGCAGACAAAAGATTCAGAGCCAAGGACAGTGTTTCCTGTGCTGCGTTTCCTTCAGGAAAATTCCCCTAGCACAGACAGAGCAAGAGCAATAGAAAAGCGCATGGGATCAGGACAAGGGGAGAGGTTTGGTCCTGCGCTTGCATTCCCACATTTCCAGTTTGTCATCGTACCTGGACTAAACTCCACCACAGTGGATACAGCAGGATGGCAGAAATACAAGGCCTCATTCCCTCTGGTGCAGCCTCCTGAAGAACATCTCATGAGGGTTTCTGAGAAATTCCTTACAGAGTGGGCTACCAGCACCAATTACCCCAATTATTCCACCTTGACTGAAAAATTAGCAATAGGAGATGATTTCCTATAATAGGCTTATTATCATAGAGAAACAGTGTTTTTATTCACAGGAGGATTACTTCAAATAGTGGAGTCGTCTCTCAGAAAGCCATGGCTTGTGGCATTGATGACCATATACTGTCTGTTTTACACTAACCCTTTTTAAGACAATTTCCCACTTCCACACTAGGCTTTTCTTCACATGCAGAAGCTGTAGCATCATCATCTATAAAATGGCGAAATAACAGACCTGTTGTAAGGATAAGTGAGTCCCTGGGAATTCAATAGTCTACACTGGCAAGTAACCAGCACTCAATAATTGTTAATTTTCTCCATTCTTTCCTCTTCATCCTAGATTTAATTAAGACGTAGCACTGAAGGTATGGAAACCCAATAGACAGGAAGGGAGATCTAAATGGCCAGTACCCGTGGAAAAATGTTCAGACTGGGTAGCAACAAAGGATTGAAAAGTGACAAGACATTATTTTTCTTCTAAGAAATTGGCTGAAAAAAAGAAAAGCCAGTTTTGGCAGAGTTTGGGAGCCAGGCCCTCTCAGGCCAGACTTGTAGAAGCACAAATTGGAACAACGTTTCAGGGGCGACTCCTACAGCTTCTGCATGTGCAGACATGTCCAGTGTAGAAGTGGGAAACTGTCCTAAAGTTGTCTTAAGTGGCTTCCCTACTGGGTGGCAGATGGCTGGTTTTTCACTTTATCAGGGACAATTAATACCTTTGTTCTCAACTGATTCCTAAGACTTGGGGGTTTCTTCAGGGGGAGCTGCTGAAGGAGGCAGCTGAGTAGACAGAATCCTCCCTGAGGATTTTCCTGGATGTCCCCCAGACAGTGTGGCTGACTACCTCCCACAGGGACCTCAAAGTTGCATATTCTGCTGTGTGACCAGAGCTGAGGAGAGATCCTACCAGCCCCAACTCACAGCTGCCACATGAAATTTGGAGTCTGGAAATTCTCTTTATTTTTCTTGAAGGAACTCACGTGTTGGCTTCTTTATTGACTCAGGAAACGATGACACTGGATATGGACAGTGTCTCTAAAATTGACTCGCTGGAGGGTAGTAGTCTGAAAACTCAGCTCATTTTCCGATACTGAAAGGGAATGAAAAGTCAGGTATTCTAGTGTTTGTAATGCACACACAGGAATCAAAACACAGAATCTCCAGGACTGCAGAAGTAGAGACCAGTGTCTTTCTGATGTGTGTGATTCCTGGAGAGCAGTGTTTGAGATCCTGGATTTTCCAAAGAACTTATTTACTGAGCAAGTATTTCCCTTTCTTGCAATGAAGTCAAGCAAAAGGGAAGCCACCTTGCAACCAAGTGAATAGATGAGAAGATGAAATGAGGTGTTCTGGGAGAAATCAAAGAGGGCTCTTTCCCTGAGGTGTTCTTCTTTTTAGGGTTCTCAAAATCAATGTGCTTAGGGTTATAACCACACCCTTTTTAAACAAGTCCTAACTGAGAGGGCATTTAGCAAGTCTTTGACATAGTTTAAACGCTGAAAAGTCAGGGCTTGATTCAAAGATAGTGATCATTCCCGGATGACTGAGTCTCCCAGGTGTCAATAGAGAAGTTGGCCAGGGACTTTTCCCAAGGACCAAAAAGAAGAGCATCCGGGAGATAAGGTCATCCTACAACCAGGCACCAGACAGGGCTCAGTGTGAGCAGATCACAGGTGTCTGTTCCTGTTCAGACTCCAGTGCTCAACAGCCAAAGCCGAAGGATTGAGGAGGTGATGGAGGAAGATGTTTCCACATTATCATTTGTCTCTCATAGTCTGTGGGAGCCATCCTTCCCCCAGGCCCAGGGACATGCAAAGAACAGCAAGAGTGGGGAGCTCTTCCAAGTGAAAGAAAATAAAGGCGTTCCTCCCTCCCTCCCATTCCTCTTACCTTGATGGCCAAAGTTCGTGGTAGAAGTTAAACTGAGGTACTTTTGACCAAATCCCACAATCCCTAGATTTAGAGAGTTTTCTGTATTTCAAAGATGTCATTTAGGAAATCTTCAAACAGAAGTCTTCAAACAGGAGCGAACAGTATTAAGGATATCCTGATGCTGGGGCATTGAAACAAGTGATTTCAAGAAATGTTCAAAATATGCATAGAGAAATAACCATCCATGTTAGACTAGTAAAGACTATACTAAATAAAGTGTGATATGTTGATTGTTGAAGTCAGAATAACTTGTTCTCTTTTAATTTTTATTTTGAAATAATTTCAAACTTAGAGAAAGCATGCAGGTATAGCACAAGAAGATCCTATATACCTTTTTCCAGATTCACCAACTGCTAACATTTTGCCACTTTTGCTGCATATATAATGATATGAAAATAAATTGTAGCTATCTCTGCCTTGTTACTCACAAAGGTTTTAGCGTATGTTTCCTAAGAACAAGGACATTTTCTTTCATACTCAGAGCACAATAATCAAAATCAGGAAAGTTAACATCGACTCAATACTATTGTCCCTATTCAGATGTCCCAAATTGTCATAGTAATATTTATAAGCACTTGTTTTCCAGTCCAGGATCTAATCCAGGAACATGCACTGCATTCAGTTGTCACGTATCTTTAGTGTCCTTTAACCTGGAACAGTTCCTCAGATTTTATTTCTTTTTAATGATGTTGGTATTTTCGTAGAGGACAGGCCCTATATCATGGAAAATTCTTCAACTTGCGTTTATCCAATGTCTCGTCATGATTAGATTCAAGTTATGCATTTCTGGTAGGAATATTGCAGAAGGGATGTTGCATCCTTCTCAGAGCATCACATCAGGAAGCCCATTGTGGGTGATGTCAACTTGATCACTGGGTTAAGGCAGTGCCTCCCAAGTATTTCCAGGATAAGGTTACTGTTTTCCATTATAATTGAGAAGGAACTTGAGGGGAGATACTTTGAAAATATGTAACTATCCTGTTCTTCAACAAACATTCACTCACTCGTTTAGCCTTCCTTGATGATTCCTGTGTGTATCCATTATTACTACTATGGTTGCAAAACAATGATTTTTCAAACTCCATTCCTTCTTTTATATTTACTAATTAGCATTTCACAGTGAAGAGTAGATTTTTCCACTCTCCCTGTCCCCGAATATTTATTTACATGTCCATTTGATATCAGGATGCATTAATGGAATCTAATTTAAATCATTGGGTTATGATGGAAGGATTGGTTTTTAATTCTTGATTCTGTCACTTAGTTGCTTGTGTAAATCTGGACAGGTCACCAAACCTTGATGTGTCTTAGTGTCCTTAGAGAAGGGAAAAGCTACTTTGCAGAGTTCTTCTGAAGGTCACCTGTGACAGATTCTCAGAGACTTGTGGACAGTCTCCAAGCAATCACGCACATGTGTAACTGGAATCCCAGGAGAGGAAAGAGGGAAGAGGATAGAAAAAAATACATAAAGAGATCAGCCAAAAACTTTCCAAAATTTGGTAAAAGACATGAATTTATAGATTCAATAAACTTGTTGAACCCCAAGCAGTATATATATAAATAAAACCACACCTAGTAAAACTGACCAAAACCAAAGATGAACAGAAAATCTTGAGAGCAACCAGAGGACAATTACACATTACATACAAGGGAACAGTTATCAGACTGACCAGTGAATATGTCTCTAATTTTCCATCAGAAACAATGGAGTTCAGAAGACAATGAAATGACATTTTTTAAGCACCATAAGAAAACAACCTGTTAACTCAGAACTCTACATCAGTTAAAGTGTTCTTCAGGGAAAAAAAAGAAAAGATATTTTCAGAAAAAATAAAACTACAGTTTGTTTGAAACAAGATTAGAAGAAATAAAGCACTAACAGTGTGTGAACCTAACCACTATGCCACTGAACTGGCCCCCAGAATACAAATATTTTTAAAGTGCTTATGGTGCATTCACTAAGAGAAATCAAATGTTGAGACATCAAACAAGTTTCTTATAAACTTAAATGTACACTTAGCATGCAGCCCAGCAAGCCCACTCCCACATATTTACCTAAGTGAATGGAAAACTTATTTCCACAGAATTGCAGGTCAATGTGTATAGCAGCTTTATTCATAATCACCAAAAACTGTAAACAAGATATCCTTCAAGAGTGGAAAGATAAACAAACACAGTACAACAGACACTAGAATACTATTCAGTGATCAAAAAGAATGAACTATCAATGCATGCAACAACCTAGATGAACTGTTTGTTTGCTTTGTTTTGTTTTTGTTTTACTAAAACTTAAGTTTTTTAGAGCAGTTTTAAGTTCACAGCAAAATTAAAAGCACGGTACAGAGATTCCCCATATACCCTCTGCCTCCGCATGCACACAGCCTCTTCTACTATCAACATCCCTCACCAGAGTGGTACAAGTGTTACAACTGATGAACCAACATTGACATGTCATATTCACCCAAAGGCCATAGTTTACAATACGGTTTACTTTGGTGGTGCACATTCTATGGGTTTGGATAAATATATGACATGTATCCAGCATTATGATATAATACAGAGTATTTTCACTACCCTAAAAATCCCCACCTATTCAACCTTACACCCTAGCTTAACCTTGGCAACCATTCATCTTTTTACTGTCTTCACAGCTTTCCCTTTTGTAAGATGTCATATAGTTGGAGTCGTGTATGTAGCCTTTTCAGATTGGCTTCTTTCACTTACTAACATGCATTTAAGGCTCCTCCGTGTCATTTCAAGACTTAATAGCTAATTTATTTCAGTGTTGAATAATATTCCATTGTCTGGATGCGCCACACTTTATTTATCCTTTCACCTACTGAAAGACATCACGGATGCTTCCAAGTTTGGGCAATTAGGAATTAAGCTGCTATAAACATTTGCGTGCAAGTTTTTACGCGGACGTACATTTTCCTCTCCTTTGGGTAGATTCTAAGGAGTGTGACTACTAGACTGTATGGTAAGAGTATGTTCAGTTTTGTAAGAAACCGTCAACTGTCTTCCAACGTGGCTACACCATTGTGCATTCCCACCAGCAGTGAATGAGGGTTCCTGCTGCTCCACATCATCCCCATCACTTGGTGTGGTCAGTGTTCTGTATTTTGGCCATGCTAACAGGTGTGTAGCGGTACCTCATTGTTGTTTTAATATGTATTTCCCTGATAACATACGATGTGGAGAATCTTTTCATATGCCTATTTACCATTTGCAAATCTCCCTTGATAAGGAATCATGTTAAGATCATTGACCCACTTTTCAATCAGGTTGTTTCTGTTCTTACTGTTGAGTTTTGAGACTTCTCTTTATATTTTGGGTAAAAGATCTTCATCAGAAGTATCTTTTGCAAATATTGTTGCCCATTCTGTGGCTTCTCTTCTCAATCTCTTGACATTGTCTTTCATAGAGCAGAAGTTTTTAATTTTAGTGAAATCCAGCTTATCAATTACTTCTTTGATGGATCATGCCCTTGGGGTTGTGTCTAATAAGCCATCACCATACCCAAAGTCCTCTAGCTTTTCTCCTGTCTTTTGGGAGTTTTATAATTTTGTACTTTACATTTAGGTTTATGATTCAGAGTTGATTTTTGTGATGGGTGTAAGATCTGTGTCTAGATTCATTTTTTTCCGTGTGTATGTTGTCCAGCTGTTCCAGCACAATTTATTGAAAAGACTGTCTTTGCTCCATTGTATTGCTTTTGATACCTGTCAAAGATCAATAGACTATATTTATGCAGGTCTATGCTGGGCTCTCTATTCTGTTCCATTGATCTATTTGTCTATTCTTTCACCAATACCACACTGTCTTGATTATTGTAGCTTTAGAATAAGTCTTGAAGTTGAGTAGTGTCAGTCCTCCAAATTTGTTCCTCTCATTTACTACTGCGTTGGCTACTAGGGTATTTTGCCTCTCAAGAGAATCTTTAGAATCATTTTGTTGAGACAAAATAATTTGCTGGGATTTTGATTGGGATTTCACTGAATCTGTTGATCAATTTGGAAAGTAGTGATTCCTTGACAGACTGGGAATATTGACATGTTCCTATCCATAAACATGGGATACCTCTCAATGAATTTAGTTCTTGATTTCTTTCATCAGAGTTTTGTAATTTTTCTCATATAGGTCATATACATATATATATTTTGTTAGATTTATACATAAGTATTTCATTTGGTAGGATGCTAATGTAAATACTGTTGCATTGTTAATTTCAAATTCCATTTGTTCAGGCCACTATATAGAAGGGCGATTGACTTTTCTTTACAGAAGTCAGTTGCATTTCTATGAATCAACAACAGTTTCTAGGAAAAATAAATGAAGAAAACAATTTAGAATAAGAAGTGAAAGCTGTATGCATTAAAACTATAAGATTTTGATGAAAAAAACTGAAGACAACACAAATAAATGGAAAGATATCTCATGTTCCTGTGTTGGAAGAATTAATAGTCTTAAAATGTCCATACTAGCGAAAGCAATCTACAGATGGAATGCAATCCCTATCAAAATTAAAAACCTCTATTCACAGAAATAGAACAAACAATCCTAAAATTGGATGGGACCCCAAAAGACCCCAAATAGCCAAAGCAATCCTGAGAAAAAAAAAGAATAAAGCTGGAGGCATCACATTTCCTCATTTCAAACTACATTACAAAGATATAGGAACCAAAACACTACAGGACTGGCATAAAAACACACACATAGACCAATGGAATAGAATCAAGAGCCCAAAAATAAACCCTCACATATGTATATGGAAGAATGCACGCATGAGCAGGGAGCCTGTCTTCCCCTCAGGTTAACTTTGGAACTGCATGAGGAGCTGCTGGATTGTTTCGTCACTTGGACAATATCCTATAAACAGTTCTCAACTGACCTACGAAGAGCTGCTTGGTTTATGGATGACAGTTCCAAGGTGCGCGGGCAACATCCTGTTTGGAACATCACCTCTCTGATCAAGGAAAGTAAAAGCAGATCAGCTCAATGAGCTAACTGTGTGCAGGGTTCCTAGCAGTGACGGAAGAATTGAACAATGACAAAAGCCCTTATACTTTGATTTTTACAAACTCATAGACAGTAGGCAACAGCCAGGCTATATGGTTAGGCAACGGGCAAGGGAAACCTGGTCTATTAAAGGAACGCCCATATGGAGCACAGTCCTACGGAAATCACTATGGGAATTTGAGGGGTGTGCAAAGTAGGACATCTTGATGCCCATCACAAGAACCCCCTCTGGGTTGGGAAGAGACTGGAATCAATGAGCGGATAACCTGTTATTCCCCTTGATGTGGCTACCTGGATCCATGACATAAGTGGACATTGAGGGGCTGCAGCAACACAGAGACGGGCTGAGTCTAGACATATTCCACTTGCATCCTCTGAAGAAAAATACCAAAAAGAACTGTTCTGTCTGCCAACCAGAGACTAAGTTAGGCTATGTGGCAGACTGCCTGGTGGGAATGCCTTGAACGTAGCTGGCAAATCAGACTGATGCTGGTGGCCCAGGGGGGCTACAAATGGGTCTCGACAGGAGTAGATATTGACTCTGGAGGGCTTTGCTTACCCAGTGGTAGATACGAATGCTCAGAGTGCTATAAAAGAACCAGAACAGAAGATAGTGCACCAATTTGCACTGCTGAGTCACAATTCTTCAGGCCAAAGAACAAACTTTACAGCCCATAAAGTCCAACAACGGGCAGAGAGACATCCTCCTCAGAGGAATAGTGTGATAGAGAATTTGAATGCACAATTGGGACACTGGTTGTCTAAAATGGGGTGGTGGGGGATAAAGAGGCACAAAAGGCTGGCTTACACATCTTCACAAGTGTGTGCTCACAGTCAACATGAGTGGGGCTAAAGGAATGTCCCTACTAGAAAGTTTCCTCTCTTTTTCCTGGAATACCTGGAGAGGAGGGGTGGAGGAGGATGCTGGTATGACTGTACAATTCTTCTGAAATGGGGAGGAAGATGGTATGACTATATCCATTTCGACTCTCTTTCTTCCTGCCTGATGCAGTGGTCTCAGGTCAGGGATGCCAACAAGTGCCAGAACATGAATGATTCCTAAGCAAGAAACTGTAACTATATTTTCAAACCCCTGTGTCAGAATTCCTAAGGGCCTGAAGGGGCAGAGAGTGCCTTCACCCCATCTGGCAAAATCGGGGCTGACAGTGAATGCAGCTATATTGCCTGGTGGTCAGTTAGCCCCCTAGCTCTGTACCTATGTGACTCCTCTATGAATGGGAGCGCGCTGAGGAGGAGGGGCTGCTACACTAGTATCGCTGCCTGCGTCTAGACCAGCACCGCAGCCAAACCTAATGTCCCTTCCAAAGGTGGAAAGGTTAGGTATAAACGGAGAGAAGGAAAAATAGCAGCTGAGGTAAAGCAATGAATATATGGGTTACGTAATGAGAGAAACACAATATTACATTAACACCTAAAAGAAGTGTGAGCAACAGATGATATTGTCTCTTAACTCAATTATCCAGATGTCGGAAAAGGTGTAAACATATATTGCTGACACTATTTCTGCTTCTGGAACCTGACAAGATCAAATGGAAGCCTGCAAACCTGAGTGACCTCACCCTGGGAGACATTGTCATACAAGAGGATGACGGACTGGACTAATTGTTCATGACTGAATGGGCACCAGTAATTTGCCAGCATCTTCAAACTGTTATGCTCCTTTTGCTATAAGGGATCTGTGGTCAAAGACCAGAGAGCAGACTCAGTATAATAAAAAAATATTTAGTCTTTGTCCCCGGTTCCTGGCAAAGATCTCCTATAACCCTTGGAATCTCCTGAGTCATGAGTGACTTTCATATGCTAATGAGATGTCTGTGGAGTCCTAGATAGCTTCAGGATGGGGGCTGATCACTAGAAAGACCCCAGTGATGAGGGCTAAGCACTAGCAGTCCTGTGGGATTTCTTAAAAAATACTCAGGGCTCTCCCCAGACCCACCATCTCAGAATATTAGGCACAAGACCAAGGAATCGCTTAATTAACAAGCCCTACAGGTGAGTCAGATTTTTCAACCAAGTATAAATCTAGGGTCTGCTTTATAAATTGTGAATTCAGATTGGAGCCAGCACTGGGAGAACCAGCGCTAAGGGCGGGGAGGGAGAGCAGGCCGCAGAGGAGAATTCCAACAGGAACTTGCCTAGGATGGGAAATTACGGGGTCCCTCCTCTCTAATTCCAGAATCTGGCTCCCTTGAGAAGGTTGGGGAAAGAGGGAAATGACAATCAAGCCCTAGAAGGAGAACAGAACTGGACAAGTTTGAAAATTCATCTCTGGACAGCACAGACGCCCGTGTGCAGGGCCATCTAGCCTTGTGGGGACAATGACAGACCAAATGACTCCTGCTGCTGTCAGAGATGGGGGACACCAGAGGAGAATGACCAGAACTTATACAGAAGAACAAGAAAAGGCACAATCTGCTTCAGAAACTAAGGAAAAACAAACACCCAAAAGGGGTCTGAGGGCTGGACTCAACCCTGAGCCTAGGCTGACCCGTCCACATGAAGCCCGCCCTGCACGCGGTCCTGGAGACACAAGGCCCAGGTGATGTCCAAATCCCTGTGATCACAGATCCTGGTGGGACAAGGTTCTCCTGAAAGGACAAGGACAAGGAAGCAGAGAAGATGTCCCAACCAAGGAGTCCCCACGTCAAAGGCCACAATGCACTGAACATCGACTGGACACAGGCCTTAGGCTTACACTCAGCTCCTCATAGCCTTCTCCTGTCCCCACCTGCAACAGACTCAGCACAGCGAACAGGCAGATTCTGGAAGGTTCTCAGAGCCTCAATTTATTTCCCCTCTCAAATTTTAGGAATCTTCTCCTTTAATTAAACCATCAATCCCTGATGGCAAGATTCTTAAAAAATGAGTTCATATCTAGATGTTTATTTTCAATAAGGAAGGAAGAAGCTGCAGCTCAGCCCAACACAAAGTTAAGACAGGGATGGAATAAGCCCCGCCTCTCCTGGGACAGGAAAGTCAATCAGGGGACAGAACACAGGGCAGTTGGGAGGGAGTCATGGGGGGGACTAGTCTCCCCATCTCCTCACATTATGCCAAGAGGAGCACAGACACACTCAGATGCCCTTTGCAGAAAGAGAAGTAAGAGTTTCCTGAAGTCACAATGGCGGTGGGACAGGAACAAATCTTGCATCATTCTGTCCCCTACAAGGCAGCTGTTTCACGCTATAGAAGAAAACAATTATGAACAATTTAAGTCACTCACTATAATTAGTGACATTCTGAATATCACACCACATGCTCAGAATGTCCCAATCAAAGAGTATCCATAACCTAGTTCAGGCCCCTCTGCCCCAACATCTCCCCACTCCAGGCTTCCAGAGTGTCACCTGCCTTGAGAGACACATCAGAGCCCTGGGCACTGTCACTGCCTGGATTAGAACAAAACAGGACATGGTCAGAGTCCACAGGAGATGAGACTAAAGGAGGAACTCTGGGGTGGGTGAGCTCCCCATGGGCTCCCGTCTGCACTATCACAAGGGTCTCAGGCAACACACTCACTCCATCCTGACTTGCAGCCTGAGCATAGCCCCTTCCTTTCTCACCTAAGGGAATAAAACATCCTGTGAGAAACCAGGGAGGATGGAGGGCCATGAGGTCCTAAAGGAACCCCTAGTCCTAGAGCCCAGAGAAGCTTCCAGAACTGTCATTACAGATCCAAGGCAGGATCAGGAAACATGAGGGAAGCACATGTGTGGTGACTTCCCCTCACCATCTAGTCTGTCCTGTGACTGTTGGGAATCAGGTCCCCATCACCAGATTCATCAAGGTGATAAATTTGTCCTTCATTCTCACACGTGCTTTACTAAAGACGAAGTGTTAGCAAACAGGGTCCCAGACTAGAAAAGCACATGTGCCTGTGGATGGGACTTTCCATTAACCAGGCAGGACAAACTTCTACCTGGGCTTGAAACACCCCAGTGGGACAAGAAATCTCAGACCACACCCCTTCCCTACCTGAGTGCTTCTTCCTCCAGATCACAAGTCCAACCACCACAGCTCCAAGGAGAACCAGGCCAGCAATGACGCCCACAGTGAGGATGGGGGACTCAGGAGGCGGCTCTGGGAAGGGAAGGTAAGGTGAGGGCCCTGACCCTCCTGAAGGTCTCCAGAAGGGCTCCTGATTTCCCTGAGAAGAGACTCTGAGCCCACGGCTCCCTCCTTACCCCATCTCAGGGTGAGGGGCTCAGCCAGCCCCTCATGCTGCACACGGCATGTGTATCTCTGCTCCTCTCCAGAAGGCACCACCACAGCCGCCCACTTCTGGAAGTTCCCGTCCCCTGCAGGCCTGGTCTCCACAAGCTCTGTGTCCTGGGTCAGGTCCTGCCCGTCACGCTGCCAGGTCAGGGTGATCTCCGCAGGGTAGAAGCCAAGGGCCCAGCACCTCAGGGTGACCTCATGGTCAGAGATGGGGTGGTGGGTCACATGTGTCTTTGGGGGATCTGAGGAGAAGGATCAGAAAATTCAGGAACTTTGCATCTGTTTGGGGCACTGAAGCAGCACTCATATGACCATCCTGAGAATGGACAGGACAGCTGGAGTGAGGGAAGGGAGAACAAAACCCAGACACCAGCCTGGACACAGGAACCTGAAATAAGCTCCAGTCCTTGGAAATTTCTGGAATCAGAGTGAGTGAGCCGAAGGGTAGGAGGCAGGTCTCTGAATAGGAGTCAAGGGATTTCTGGTCCTGAGCTGGGTGGAGGCGGAATGACTCAGAGAATCTGGTCACACCTCAAACACGGTTAGGGTATGAGTATGAAGAACAAGGCCTGAGAGAGAAAGTCCCAGAGCCTCTGCCACAGTCAGAGGGAACCGCATCAGTCATTTCAGAGATAGCTTCTCCCTCCATCCCCAGACAGCCTGGACCCCTTAAGGTCCCTGAGAGAAAGGCTAGCCCTCTGGGGAGTCACTCTTTGGCACTGGATCTGAAAACCCTGGTGGACTCAGTCTCCAGACCCATGGGCTGGGCACATTCAGGTGTTGATCCCGTTTCCCTCCTCTCTCTGCGGGACGGCAGGCTCGGCCCACTGGGAGATCAGGAGGCCGCGCAGCCCCTCGTACCCGCGCGCTGCAGCGTCTCCTTCCCGATCTCCAGGTGTCTGAGGAGACACTCCACGCACGTGCCCTCCAGGTAGTTCCTCCAGCGCTCTGCCTCACCGGCCGCCTCCCACTGGCGCCGGGTGATCTGAGCCGCCGCGTCCACCGCGGTCCAGGAGCGCAGGTCCTCGTTCAGGGCGATGTAATTGGCGCCGTCATAGGCGAACTGAGTGTACCCGCGGAGGAGACGCCCATCCGGCCCCACTTCGCAGCCATGCATCCTCTGGTAGGTGTGAGACCCTGACCCCGCCCCGAGGTCAGCCCAGCACACCCGGCCCCGCCCCCGCCCCGCCCCCCCGCAGAGATTTAACGTAAACTGAAAAGGGAACCGCTGAAAAGTCCCCGCCGACTCTTCCCGGGTCGGGGTTCGGGGGGTCCCGCAGCCTCGGGGTGAATCTCGGACCCGGAGACTCGGGGAGACCCCGGCCCGTCCGTGGGGATTGGGGGTCGGGACCTGGACCCGGGCCCGCGGCGCTCACCGGCCTCGCTCTGGTTGTAGTAGCCGCGCAGGGTGTTCAGTCTCACTCGGTAAGTCTGTGCGGCTTCCTTGTAGATCCGCGTCTCCCGCTCCCAATACTCCGGCCCCTCCTGCTCCATCCACGGCGCCCGCGGCTCCGCTCTCGGACTCGCGGCGTCGCTGTCGAACCGCACGAACTGCGTGTCGTCCGCGTAGCCGACGGCGATGAAGCGGGGCTCCCCGCGGCCGGGCTGGGACACGGCGGTGTGGAAATACCTCATGGAGTGGGAGCCTGGGGGCGGGGAGGGGCTGAGACCCGGCCGACCCTCCTCCTGGCGAGGGTCACAGGGTCAGAGGTTGGTGGGGCGGACGTAGAAGTGCGGGGACTTGGGGCGGGACAAGAGAAGGGAGGGGTCTGGAAACCTGAGGCCCAGGTTGCGGGTCTGGACCTGGGTCCGCGGAGACCCGGGTTCCCTGGGTGTCCTGCACACCCAGTCGCGTGGTGTCCTAGCTCCGCCCCCCGCAGAGGCCATTTCCTCCCGACCCCAAACTCACCAGACCAGGTCTCCGTCAGGGTCAGGGTCCCCAAGAGCAGCAGGAGGAGGGTTCCGGTTGCCATGACCCTTATTCTTAGGATCTGAGGAGAATCGGAGCCCTGGACGGTGGTGGAGACTTTATAACCAGGAACGGCAGACACGCTCATGGGCTTCCCTAGAAACCGGACACTCAATGGGAGTGAGAACTGGGGCCCCGTCATGAGTCTCCAGGCAGGAGGAGCTGATACAGGTTGTGAGAGGGAGCAGTGAATCTCAGGGAGACGGGGACTCCCCAACACTGAGCTGCAGAAACCGCCCCAGACTCCGCCCTCGGTGCCTGGAACCCTGAGAACCACTTGCCCTGACCCCTCTCCCCCTGCACCGAGAGCTCTTTGTCACACCGTCTCCCTGAGTCCTGGCCCAGGGGCTGTCTGAGGAAACCAGGGAGAGACCCCCAGGCTGGGCTCAGCCCCTTTTCCTCCTCTTACTGGAATCCCTCTCCCTGAAATGGATTCCTTACATTCCACCCCTGACCTCTCCCCTGGACTCTTCTAGAAGAAAACTCACCCCCAGTGAACTTGATGCCAGAGAGTGAGCTTGCCCTGGGAATGGAGGTGGAGGGACAGGGCTCTTCTCTTTAAACCTGGAGAAGTTGTGCCTGAATACACCAGATAGAGGTTCTCATGGAGACCAGCTTCCTCTTTGTTTATTACCCACGGTGGGTAACACGATCTTGAAAACCCTGAACATCAGGAATCTCATCTGTAAAAGCAGTGATTTGGGCCCCTTCGTACAGAAATGTCTCTGCACAGGGCTGCAGTCAGACTCACAAAGCTCCTGTTACTTTCCAGTCAGTATATCTGTGACTTCAGGTTGTTGTATTTTAAAATGATCTTCATTCCCTCATTTGTCCCTGTGAGTCCCTGACATGTCCTCAGTACAACGAAGCACAAGGAAGCAGAGTTTGTTGTTGTGGATTAATTTTCTCAAAGTTGCAAGTGCTCATGCAGTCAGACTGCCATTCGCCAGAGCCCCTGCACTGCCTCTTTTTATGAGTTCTTCACATGTGAGCAGTGTGAATATTTCACTGGGACACATTTTTTAAACTGATTAACATAAGGGGCATTAGTTCTTAGGCAGCCCCTCAGAATATAGTAAACACCAAATGCAAAGCCTACCCTGCTGGGCTTGTAGATATATTTACTAAAGACCTATGAAAAAATACATGTGCTTAAATCTGAGGATTCCACTGCTGTAGAACTCTTTCCCTCTGCTTCTTTTCCTACGCCTGTTTCTCCAGCCCTTCTCTCTGTCCCTCTCACCCTTCTTCTCCCCTTCGTCTCCACCACCCTCTCAGGCCTGAACTGTGGCACCAGTGCCACCCCTCACCTGCCACCCATGGACTATCCTCCCCACAGGGGTCAGGGATCCTGCTAGTGCGAGTCAGGAGGTGTCATTTCTTCACTAAAACACTCCACTGGTTCCGTCTCACTCTTGGGAAGCCTCTAGAATGTAAGACACATGAGCACAGGGGCTTTGGGCTGTTCAGGTCAAAGCTGTATCCCCAGCATATACAGCCATGCTTGTACATAGCAGGGATTAAATTAGTTGTTGAATAAATGAAGGAAATATGATTGCATTAAAATTTAATTACGTTATTGAAAAATCATAAAATGAAAAATACAAAAAATAGGAAAGATTTTATTTTATGCGACTAGCATGCTTATCAGTTCATAAATTCATTCCACTGGGAAAAATGCTATGTGCTTATCTGTTGCACAGTGAGCTTGCATATTAGTTTCTGTTACTGCGTAACAAAACCACAACTTAGTGGTTCAAAACAACGCCCACTTATTTGCTTACAGTTCCTTAGTCAGAAATCCGTGCGTGGTGTGTGTGGGTTCTCTGTTCAGGATTTCACAAAGCTGCATTCTCATCTTGAGCTCAGGATCCTGCTCTAAGCTTATACAGAGCTTGTTAGCAGAATTCACGTTTTTCCAGCTGTAGGCCTGAGGACCCTCTTTCCTTGACAACTGTCAGCGAGGAGCCAGAGCAGGACTGCTCCCAACACCTACTGGTCACCAGCATTCTTCGCCATGCGGCCTCCATTTTCAAAGCCCACAATTGAGAAAAACCCTCACGTTGAATCTCTCTCACCTTTGAATCTGTTTGCTCAGGAAGAACCCAGTGCTTTTACGGGCTCACCTGATTAGGACACTCCCACCCAGGACAATCCCCTTGTCTTCAGATCAACTGATTTGAGATCTTAGTTACATCGGCAAAATCCCTTCTCAGCAGCATCTATGTTAGTGTTTGGTTGAATAACTGGGGGGAAAGAGAGTAACCAGAAGGTAGTTGTTGTGGACCATCATGGAATCAGCCTAGCGCAGCCTGGTTCTTCCTTTGTGTTTAATTGGGTCATGGTTAGAAATTTAAGTTCAAATAAACAGATTGTTGTGAATGGTAATAAAATGCATCCTGTTTATTAGCCATGGAAATTCTTCTTAAATCTTAAAACCAAATGATGTGATTAATATTTAATACAGTCGTCCCACTTATCCACAAGGATACCCTCCAAGACCCCCAGTGGATGCCTGAAACCGGGGATAGGATCAAACCCTATATACTGTGTTTTTTCCTATGCATACTTTTGTACTTTGGGGCCATTATCAAGTAAAATAAGAGTTCTTTGAACACAAGCACTGTGATACCAGGACAGTTGATCTGATAACTGAAACAGCTGCTATGTGACTAATGGGCGGATATCATACGTGGCTTGTACACTGGACCAAGAAATGATTCACATCCCAGGCAGGACAGAGCAGGATGCTGCAAGAGTTCATCAAGCTACTCAAAATGGCATGCAATTTAAAACTTATGAATTGTTTATTTCTGCAATTTTCCATTTAATGTTTTCAGACCACAGCAGGTAACTGGAACTGTAGAAAACAAAAGTGCAGATAAGAGGGAACTAGTGTAATTAATTTAGAGCACACAAAAATTAAAGGGCAGGGGCTGGCCCCGTGGCTGAGTGGTTAAGTTCGCGCGCTCCGCTGCAGGCGGCCCAGTGTTTCGTTGGTTCGAATCCTGGGCGCGGACATGGCACTGCTCATCAAACCACGCTGAGGCAGCGTCCCACATGCCACAACTAGAAGGACCCACAATGAAGAATATACAACTATGTACTGGGGGGCTTTGGGGAGAAAAAGGAAAAAAATAATATCTTTAAAAAAAAAATTAAAGGGCAATAATTCACTCTCTCTTTGGACTCTGTGTTAGTTATGTACCCCAGCATAAGAAATTACCCAAAACTTAGCAGCTCAAAACAACAAACAGGTATTATCTCCCACAATTTCCCAGGGTCAGCAATCCAGCAGAGGGTTACCTGAGTACTTCTGGCTCAGGGCCTCTCTCAAGGTTGCAGTCCAGTTGTCGCCTAGGGCTGCATCAGCTGATGGCTTGACTGGGGCTGGGACATTTCCATGAAACTTGGCTCATTGATATGGCTGTTGGAAGAGGCCTCAGTTCCTTGCTGGATGGTCCCAGGAGGCCTCACTTCTTACCTATGTCATTCCATTAGGTGGTTAATGATTAGGTAGCTGGTATCTCCCAAAGCAAGTGATCCGAGAGAGAGCTCAGAAGGTGGAAGCTGCAATGTGTTTTCTGTCCTAGACTCATAGTCACACACCATTACCTCAGCCTTATTCTGTCAGTTAGCAGTGAGTAATTAAGCGCAGCCCACACTCAAGAGGAGGGCATTAAGCTCCACCTCTAGAAGGGAGGAGTATCAACGAATTTACATACATGTTAATACCAAAATTTAAATTAGATATTGTTTCAGAATTTTGTAAATCAAAGCTTCTTTTATCGGATTTTTTTTTTAGTGCTTTATATTTCTCTTTTGGAAAATAATGATTAAAAGTTTGACAGAGAGAAAGGAGATACAACAATATTTGTAAGTTTTTCTTGCAAATGCCTTTAATAATAGTGTTCCCTTCAATAAATTGCAAGAAGGTTGAGAACATGTAGTAGGTAGATCAAATGCTGTACTTTGAAGAAGTGAGTGCCATAATAATAATACCTTTGAAATAATAACTCTGTTTTCCTTTAGAAGTTTCAAATTTAGTTTAATGTCAAAAATATTGGTTCAAAACCCAATTTTCTTACTCAAGAAGATATTCAAATATAGTTGCCTAATGAAATTGCTTTTCAGTTAGAAAAATGTGAATCTCATACCTCAGTCTGTACACCTAGCTTAGCATCATGATGACAATACTGGTGGGATGCAGTAGGCAGGAATGGTTGACCCCAATCTGGGAACAAGGTTTTCTAAAAACTGGCTGTTCAGTTGGCATCCTATAAGAAATTTAACATTATTCCCTGTGTTTTGGAATGAGATTTGGTACAAGTGACTCGGACACCAATGTGATTCTAAAAAGCACCATTAATATGTGCCTCTAAAGTGTTTTCAAAGTAGCTCCATTGTGTTTTCCACTCACGCTTTCTGTTCTATCACTGGTTGGGTATCCATTTATAAGGGTTTCCATTTTCCTTCATATTGATCAACAATGTGCTTTTCCACTTCTGTAGAAGTAGTTAATTTGGTTCTATGTGGGGTTAAATGTAACACATCAAATCCTTCTCAAGACAGAATTACGTTGACATCAGATTGGACACAGTAGACCAGAAAATCTACAGAGATGCCAGTGAGCAGAAGATCAAATGGCCTATTTTTAGCCGGTGCTAATTTTTTATGGCGTCCTGGCCCTCTCTCTCTACACAGCTCATAATATTGGCTGTGGCTTTGTTCCAGTGTGGGTGTTCTTGCTAACGATCCTTTCAATGAATTTTGGTATTTTCTTTTCTCTTTCATTTTTAAAAAATTAATCAGAAATGGTTCACAGCTGCAATTTGAAAAATGCCAGTTTACAGAGTTATGACCAGACAAATACCTGGCGCCCATCAGTGCTGTGAGAAAAAGAACTTGTGAAGCCACTGTGGCCACCTCCGCAATCCCATCCCCCAGATGGAACCTCTACCCTGAGCCTTGTGTTCACTATTCCCTTGAGTTTCTCTAAAGATTTCACAGTAAGTGTATATATCCCTGAACCAAATAGTATTAGTTTTGCCTGGTTTTGAACTGCCTGTATAGTGAACTCGGACTGCATAGACTCTTCATGACTCAGATTTATGTAGGAGAGTTATCCCTCGTGTGTGAGGCTGTCATTCATCTATTTTTACTGCTGAAGTTTTACATTTTATGATTATACCACAATTTTGCTATTTTCCTTTGATGCACATTGTGTTATTCCAGTTCTTGCTGTAAACATTAGTGAACGTGTCTCCTGGGGCACATAGACAAGCAGTTCCCCGGAGTGTATGATGACGAGTAGAATGGCTGGATTGTATGGGGTGTGTACTTTAACCACACGAGATAATGCTAATTTGATTTCCAAAGTGCTTGTGCCAATTTAACTTTTACCAGGAATGTAAGACTTCACGCTGCCAATGTGATTGTTCTGAAAATAAAAAGTTCAGCCGAAAAGGAGGAATTAGAAGTTGAAAGTGGGGCCCGCCTCCAGTGGCCTGATGACTGAGTTTGGCATGTTCTACTTCGGCAGCCTGGGTAGGGTTCCTGGTATGGACCTACACCACTAGTCTGTCAGTGACCATGCTGTGGTGGCATGGTCACATATGAAATAGAAGAAGATTCTTGACAGAAAATGTTTTTGTTTTTTATTTTTGCTGAGGAAGATAACATTTGTCACCTATCTTCCTCTATTTTGTACATGAGCCACCACCACAGCATGGCCACTGACAGACTAGTGGTGTAGGTCCGTGCCAGGAACCAAACCCAGGCCACCAAAGCAGAGTGCACCAAACACAGCCACTCGGCCACCAAGGCTGGCCCAATGAAAACATTAAAAAGTTGAAAGCAACTGCTTTGGCTGCAGAATCACCTAGGCATTTTTTCAGATTCTCTTAATAACTTTATTTACTTTTATTCCATGTATGTTGGCATTATACTTTTAGCATATAGGTCCAGATAATTCTTCCTTTCAGCATAACCACATGGTGCTTTTTATATGTTTGAATTCTTCCATAATAAAAAGGAGAAAAGGAGGAAGGAGAGAGAGAAGGAGAAAAGACAAAAGAAAAGAGGGAACGGGAGAAATTGGACATAGCAAAGAGAGAGGACATTTACGAGGGAATCAAAGGATCTAGACTAATAGAAATTAAGGGAGAGTTATTAGTTATCTATTGCTGTGCTACAAACTACTCCAGAATTTAGTGACTTAAAACAATAAGTATCTGTTACCTCAAAGAGACAATACAAAGACAAGCAAAAGAGAGCAGATAAAGAGAGGATAAAGAGAGGACTTTACAAGATGGAATAAGTAATAGGTCGTTGCTATACAGATGAAAATGATTTTGTTAGTCCAAGCCCTCCAAGAAGCAGACTCCAAGATGGGATTAAACTCAGCAGTATTTTATTAGAAGAAACACCCAGCAGAGAATATGGAGAAGGAGCCAGAAAATGCCGGGAGAGGCAGCAGACCGAGATGCAAGTGTGATCCCAAGTGATGGTCAGAAGGAGAGAGGGTTTGTTGGACTATCCTAGACCACTGGGCAATCTCAGTGAATGGAGCAAGGCCGCAGGGGCTCCTCAGCCACATTCAGCTCTCAGAGGAGCCCCATGTCTCCAAGCAGTAGCCTGCCTTAGTGTCCCTGCTGTGACTAGTCATTCTGGAAACAGCCCATGGGAAGCAGGGCCTCTGTGCAAATGCTGCCTTGGATTTCAGAGCCCAGGAGGGGGGCCTTTGTGGCTTTCCTGGGGGATGTGCCCTAAAACCTCCTACCTGAGGATCTGGGCTCTCGGAACTCAAATCCTTCTCAGGCTGGGGTGCTGCCCGTGTTCAGTCCAGTTACAGCAGAGGGAGAACCAGGAGGTGCCAAAGTCTATCACTCGGGTTCCACAGGTATTCCTCCTGCCCCAGTGTTTGACACAGCCCCACCCTCCTGTGGATCAGTGTCCATTACTTCTCCCTCCAGAAGATGTGACTGCTCTCCTCACCTGCTGGTCTTGTAAGTGAGCATAAGTGAGGCCATCTTGTTATGGTAAATGGCCCCAGCCCATCCTCTGTGTGACTACTCGCTGCTCTGCACGTACTCTAAACAAATTCACAGGCTCTGCTCATTCATGGCCTCCACTTACATACGTGCTCCCCAATAGCTTGATTAATTAAAACTTTCTTCTGTCATGCCTGAAGGAAACCCTTCATTACTGCCCATTTCCCCTATATAACTGCCTCCAGATTCTATAATCTTTGAAGATGGGTGTTGAGACATTAGTCACCTGTCTTCTGGCTGGTGGCCGGTGATTAGATTTGCTGGCTAATCTAAAATAGTTAAACTTCTTTTCTCTACCCCTAATTCATTGTGATTAATTGGCTCAGATTGTGATGAGCAAAGTGAATCGGTTGCTCA